ATTGTTTATCCGATGTTATATCCTCTACCGCTTTGGTTCAAGAGCCTGGCCATAAGCCAGCGATGGCAACAAACTGAAGTAATGGCGGCTCACAGTCATCATGACACGGTACGGTCATTGGGATTTTTACGGCGTCAGCTCGCCGCACCATGATAGTAATCTGGCTGCGAGTCCGCGACTGCTTATTCGTTCGACTGGAGTGTTTCGTCCTCGAAGCTAACCTTCACTGAAGGCCGTTTCACTATCCGATATCTGTGGACGCACTAGATAACTAGCAGCTGGGCTAACAGTCAATCCGTGTTCAGGATGCCTTATATTACGGAACAATGTGCATATAGGCAGAGGGACAGTAACGAGGGCTTTACTGCACTATGAACAACAGGAGTCGATGGCACCCAAAACGATTTCCGATGGTTTAGCAACTGTTTTCTGTCTATTCCTAACATTTACACTGATCAATGAAAATACACCAGATTGCGGTTGAATGCCAAGTCGATATGGGGTCACCTTCCGCAACAAACGGCCTAATGTACGAAAAAAAATGCTCAAAACGTAATGCAAAAAGAAAAAGGCACGATCAAAGGTCTAGAGGAGTTTATGGCGGGACAAGATCGGGTTAACCATACACACCAGTTTGCACAGTTCAGCTTTTTCCCTTTGTATGCAGGTAGCTATACAGGTTTGTCAGTACAAGTAAACATGCGAGTCCCACGAAGTAATTGGAGTTGGAGTAGCACACAGGCCGGGGGCAACCGTAAAGAGTCAGATAATTAAACCAAAAGACCCACTGCCACGACAAGAAACATCTGGAGTTGTGTACAGGATCAGGTTCGGTTGCGGAAAAAGCAGCTACGTATGAGAAAGTGGAAGACTTTTCAAGACGTAAATTGCCGAACACGCGGCAGCAGTGCGCAGAAATTACGCCAATTACAAGTTGCGGCTCATTTGACGAGACAGCCACATTCAAATTTGATGAAGCCGAAATTCTCGCGAGGTGACAATCGTATGAGTACCAAATTACTCGAGTCATGGTTCACGGGCCCTCAATCTATAAAGAAGCACAACGACCTACCCAACCTATATTCGGTGGTGGGGCTCAATTTGGCCAAAGCAAGTTGTCACCTGGGGAACGCACAGGCCAACGCGTCCTCGAAGGCCAGCTGGCCGAGTATCCATCACGTACAATTCCACCACGTGGGATGAAAGTTCAGCAGATCACAGCCCGCACACCGGCCATCAAGCGAGTAGCGCACAAGCGGGCAATTATCCTCGATAGGGAATTTCGTCAAATGTCATCAGTTTGCAGTATCATACTCAGTGTATCCTATAAATACTGTGACTCCCTGTGCATGAATTACCTATCTTTGCTAATGCCTTTGATGAAATATCCGTGACGGATCTCGAAAGGTCAGGCGAATAAAACTCTTTCCCCAGCTATCGCATATACTTCTTTATTTATGTTTGTCTTACATCCATGACAGGTGCAAAATAACTTCTTTTGTAAATAACTAAGACGAAGTATGTATTATAAGAGGGCAAACGATGCCAATACCTACTCGGTAAGCTAAGCCGAAAGGTAGTAGACACCAGCACTAATCGCCTTCGCG